ACAAGCCTCTGTGAGTGTTTTCTGAAGGGCCAGCCTCTGTTGTCCAAAAACTGCAATCCAAAGCAACAACTCATACCTAATTCTCACTTGTTTCCCATGAGTCAGTTTCTTCCAGAATTTTCTTTCGGTCTCAGAAAGGGCCAGTACAGTTAATTCTTCTGCACACATGGCTAGAAAACCTTGAAGATTTTGTAGGTTCAATTATTCCCCAGTTAGCCTGACTCTATGAAAGCAAACACCATTCTGTTCCAACCTGGTTAAATCAATGCATCCAGCTCCATCCCTGATATCGCTTAGGAAATCCTATTCCCCTCTCCCAGCCTCTTCCCCTGCTCCTGTTCCATATTTCTTGCTCAGCTTGCAAGCTTGCTTTCTTCCATAGGCATGGTCTCCCTGACCTATCCTGAAAACCACTTTGTCCTCAACACATCTCCTGGGCCGGATGCCTAACACCTGCCCCTCTTCCACATCCCTGTCACCTCCCTCCCCAACCTCTTGGGCTCCAGGAAACCAACCAACCAAATTGCTCTGCCCAGCCAACTAAAAGGGGATAAAATTGAGGTCTTCCAAAACAACAGCCCATTTCTCCTAATAAAATTAATGCTTTAGACCCTAGCACACATGAATTAATAGTGGAGACGAATGTCTGTTGGCAAAAAAATTCAACTTCTCTGTACAAGCCTGTGCCAGTTCTACAACGTGCCAAAATGAAATATTACAGTGATATCTGCACATATCCGAATAAAATAAAGACCTGCAGCAAGCCACTGGAGTTCTCTTTCAAAAATAATGATTTTTATTTACCTAGAAATGTGAAAAGTTCACCAAATAAATACAGTCTAATGAATCAGTCTTCTTTGCTGCCTGTTTAACTGTGCTGTTGGGTATATCAAGGTGATCAAGATCCCATTTGTTTTTTTAACATTTTGTTAAACTTCTAAAAGTCATTTCCTATGCATCCTGTTACCCTTGTCTCCTTGGAGGCAGGGTGAAGTCTTAAGCTAGCACCTACCAAGCCCATGGTGGTCTGGACATTTCATTTTGGATCCTTGGTAGCTCACCCTCACCTCTAATCTTAACACCTGCCACTTACTCTGTAACTCCCCAAAGCTCAGTCTCCCTCATTTCCAATATGTCAGGACTTTTTCCTTGTGTAAGTACAGTCAGGTACCAGATGACACTTCTACTGATGACAGAGAGCATATGGGACAGTTTCTTTTGATCAATAGCCTGGGTGCATAGGCTTGGACCATTCAAGTTCATGCATTCTCTGATGTTCCCACAAGGACAAAAATCATCGAACAATGCATTTCTCAGAATATATCCTCATCATTAACTGCTAAACTCAGTACTTTTCCCCAAAATCCAATGACAATAAGCATGTCATCATGTGTGGAACCTTACGGAGAGAGTGAGGGATCACAAGAGGGGTCTCACCCCCATATGGCAGGCAGCACTCCACCTCCAAACTGCCCCACCAACTCTTTCTCTCCCTCAGTTTCTGTTCCTGAACCCAATCAACAGGGGCGGCCTACAGCCCTGACAGTATGGGTCCTCCTCCATATTCCCAGAGAGCTTATTCTAAAAATGGTAGTCATGGGTGGAGGGGGTTAAAAATTACGATGCTCAGGTTCTGATCCAGAAATCCTGCCACAGCTGGTCTGACTGTGGCCCCGTCCCACAAGGTCTGTGCCTGTTCAGTCCCTCCTCTCTGAGGCTGAGCTGTGTAGCACCATCTTCACGCAGCTCGCCTCACTCATACAACTTGTGGCTGGAAGATTCCCCAGTCAACTCACTTGGAACCCTAAGCTCATAAAGTTCTGTAGGATTCTGTCTTCTTCCAGTGAGCTACCCTCGTATCCTACCTCACTCTATTCCCAGAGAGCTCTGACCATTGGAAAGTTCCTCCTCACATGAAGCCCAAAGCAGCTTTTCATTTGCATACATAACACTGAAGTAGAAACAGAGGCAGGGACAGAGTCTAGAGGCCAGATGGCCTTTGATTGACCAGCTGGAGCCAGCAATGTCCTGACTGTCTGCAAAGGCCTGGAGAGGAACCCAGGTATCCCCCTAGAACCAGCTATTGTGGACTGGAATGAAACCTAGATGCCCATGAGCCAACAGGCACAAAGAATGGGAACCACTGAGAACCGGAAGCATGAGGTTGGAGGGGGAACAGGGAGGACAGATGGGATGTGAGGACCTGGGTCAACAGCCCCTGATTTGAAAACAAGATCAAAGGGATGCACTTAAAAGATGGAAGAAGCAGCTCCCACAGAAAACAGATGGCTTCTAGAAACGAGGACCCAAGGAAATGGATTCTTCCCTAGAGCCTCCCAAAGCAATACTGGCTTGCTGATACCTTGATTTTAGGGCTCATGACCTCTAGAACTTTTGCATAAGTTTGTGGTTACTGATTACAGAAGCCATAGGAAACCAATACAGTCAGAAGTCTGGGTCTTTCCAGCATGTACAGAACAGGGGGTTTAAACAACAGACATTTATTGGCTCACGGTTCTGGAGACTGGAACTCCAAGATCAAGGTGTGAGCAGGGCCAAGCTCCAAGGTTCCAGGAAAGGATGGGTTCCAGGACTTTCTCCTCACCTCTGGTGGCCCCTCAGTTTGTGACAGCTCCAATCTTCACACAGCATTCCGTTATGCATGTCTGTCTCTGTGCCCAGATTTCCTCTTTTTGTAAGTCATTTTGAATTAGGATTCACCCCTGCTGACTTCTTAAGTTGATCATCTCTACAAAGATCCTATTTTCAAATAAGGTCACACTCACAGGTATTGAGACTAAGGACTTCCACATCTTTCATGCCTGCCTTTCTGGGCAGGCAGCATGCTAGACCCTCTGTTTATCATTGTTGTGATTTTATTGTCTGTAGAACTGGGCAATCTGCCAAGTTAAGGCCCAAGTCTTCACATTTTATCCGAAGCATCTGCTCCAGGCCACACATCCAGTGTGTGTTGAAATGACACACTGTACATTTTGTTTTCCTAGGGAAAACACCAGTGCAAAAATCAATGTATGTTGAATGAAAAGATGACCCCAGGAAAGCTTCTCTCAACACAGAAGAGTGGAGCTCAAGTTGTCTGGAAACAAGGAATGCTACGAGGAGAGTGGCATGCTCTGTCTGGATCTCTGGGGCTCTGGGTGCAATTTGCATCTGCAGCCCAGGCTGAATGAAATCAGAGCTGATGCTTTGTGGAGCTGCAACTGAGATCCTTCTAGAGACTAAAGAGACAGAAACAAGGAGGAGAAATGGCTTCTTTCTTTCGTCAGCACCCCTGGTGGCAGCAACATGAGGTATCCCATGAGAACAGAGGTTCACCCTCAGTGTGTCCCATCTGTGGAGCATCATCAGGCTCTGGACCAGTCGCCCTGTGCTCAGAGAGAGCTGCAGAAATCCCAGCCGGCAAGACTCCCGGCTAGTGTCAGTTCTCTGTGAATTAATAAGGATGCCCTGAACACCAGCCTCCCACCAGCTACTCTGAGACCAAGGCCAGTCCCAGGTCTGAGAGAAAACATAGATAGAGTTGTCACCCATGATGCACACAGCCCCTTCTTGAGCCAACTCCAGCCGGGCGGTTTCTGAACTGGGTGTCTTCCCTGTTGGTTCATGAGACCAGAAAAGTTTGCATCCCTTTTCTCTCACCTGGGCAGCCCTATTATGGCCACTGTCCTAGGAGGGGTATTGAAAATTGGGGGTCATTGTCTGATGGAAAGGCTGGGGAAGGACTGAAGGGATCCCAAGGAGACATAAGACCCAAGGATGAGAGATCCTTCCCCCTGAAAACCTGCAGTGACTCAATCAGGAAACCAAGATTGGCTAGACTTGGCTCTGGGGCAATATTGTAGCCTGAGGTGGCCTAGGTGACCCATCTTAGGATGCTACACAGGTCTGCAAACTACAATCTCTGGGCCCCAAAGGTTAATTTTGTGATCTGGCTGCCACTTATTTTTGCAAGTCTCACTGAAATACCAACCATGCCACTACCTTTATATACTGTCGGTGGCTGCTACTGTTCAGTAAGGACAGAGCAGTGGGGTCACAACAGAAATCATGTGGCTGCAGAGCCTAAAGCCAGGACTAGCTTCACAGTCGTGCAACTCATGGAGCTGTACGCTTAGGAGATGCACCTCATTTGGTTTTGCCATCTTGCAATTCTTTAACAGGGTCCTGTATTTTTGCTTCATCCTGGGCCCTGCCCTAGTCCTAAAATCTTGACTGGCCCTCCAGTTGGCTTAGCCCTCTGCTTTTTCATTCTTTGGCTCCCTTCCACTCCCTGCAGTAATGCCTCTGATTCCAGGAAGACTCTGCTCTCTGAAGAGCTTGTTACATCTCTGGAAAACTGAGCGTTGGTTCTTTCTGGTATCTTTAATATAATCCTACCTGCTGTCACTGTCAAGGGGGCTATTGGGAGCCTGGCACTGGGTTGACTCAAGTCAGAGCACACCATGTATTCGCCAACCCTCAGGACCACCCGGAACAAATCTCTTTTGGCCTTCAGAAACTTGAAAACAGCTCTTCTATCCCTTCCTTTCTGTCACCTCTTCTCCAACCCAAAACTGTTCTCTCATAAAACACATTTATAAATCCTGCATCATCTTAGATAGAATCTTGCTAGTCAAGGCATCTCTCAAACTATGGAACCCAAATGAGTTCCAATTATAGTCTGACCAGAATAGAGTTGAGTATCATAGTCACCTATTCTGTTGGTATATCTCAAGAGTATACTGCTACTTTTTTTGTTGTTGTTTGATTTGTAGATGAACACAATACCTTTATTTAATTTATTATTTATTTATTTTTATGTGGCATTGATAATAGAACCTAGTGCCTCACAAACATGGGGCAAGCACTCCTACCACGGAGCTACAACCCCAGCCTTGTGCTGTCAGTTTTTGAAAATCATTCCAAACGTTTTTCCAAATCTCTGCTAGTAGGAGATGATATTCATATACTCATTATATATAGGAGTTCAACTTACATTTGGAGGAGCATGGCCTGCTCACTGGCACGGGGCATGTTTATCGGTGTCCAAATCCCAAGCTCTCTCTTCTACCAATCAAGACTTTTGGAGCCCTCAATTTCTTCATCTGTAAAATGGAAAAGCTGGGTCTTTTCCAGGTCTGACCTGTTGAGATTTTTCTGCTAACTGCAGACCCCATAATCCAATTTGTGAAGTAAATACGATTCCTTCTCCTGGACCTTAAACTCTTAGAAAAAAAAAAAAGTTTGTTTTTTCGATAAATTTTCCCACCCTTACCAGCCTTGGAAGCATCTGCCTGTATGATAATCTTTTTAAAATTAATTTATTCTTTTAATTAGGTATATATGACAGAAGAATACATTTTGATTCATTGTACATAATTACAGCACAACTTTTTATTTCTCTGGTTGTACACGATGTAGAATCATCGCACTATATGTGCGGTCATATACATACCTAGGGTAGTGATGTCTATCTCATTCCACCATCTTTTGCATGTGTGATAATCTTGGTGGTTAATGGAAACTCTGGGTGGATAGCTCACCAAGTCTTCAGGCTGCATTGCTGTGACTCTGGACAACTGGTTCACATCATCTTTCCCCTTCCTGTTACTTCTGCTTTTCACACACCACAAATGGATGTCTTCCTGCACATCCATCCCATCTTGAAAAAATTTTCTTCTCTCTCTCTTGCCTGGCAAAATGAAGCAACAATAACAACACAACATGCCTTTAAAGGAAGAATGCAGAGCACTCCATAAAACCTCAGAAACAAAACAATTTCCAGAAAATCATGTCTGTCTCCTTCTTCTTGTTCCCTTGTTAGAGTCTTCACCCCAGGGTTGATTTGGAGGTTTCATTTCTTGGTATGTCCTTCACATTTTCTCTAAGGTAACATAAGCCTGCTGGTGCCCCACTAGGTTTTCCCAGTGTGTATGAGGTGCAGGTTTTACCATCCACGCTTGACCAGTGAGAACACCGAGGTACAGAGAAGGCACAGTTTGATCCAGGTTAGCAACAAGTCAGGAAGTCTTAACTGTTCCTGGTTTAAAGCTGTCTCCACAACATTGTCTCTGGAAACGGCATTGTCACAGAGCATCAGATTTAATCAGACTCCAAACCTTTGCCCAAATTTAAGAGGAAGGGATGGCAGCCCTCTTGTGCCTGTGAGGAAGCTCTAAGATGGAAAGATGGGGGTATGGATGCCTGATGACATCCTAGAGCCACCAAAATAGTTTTGAACGACCTATGCATAATAAATGAGATGGAGAAAAAGAAAGGTCCCTGTTTTGTTCAAGCCACTATTATCTTTGCAGTAGTAATCAAACACAACTATTGACCAACTCCAACAGCCTCCAACTTTTGGATGAGCCCTCCTGCCTCAACCTTTACCCAGCTCCCATTCACCTTCCATATGGCCATCAATGAGCTTCCTCACATGCAAGCCTGATAATGACCTCTGCCACCTTGAAGCCTTCAGAGACTTTCCAATCCCTCTAAATATAATCCATACTCGGGTGTATTTGTATGTGAGTGCAAGTTTGTGTGTATGTGTGCACATGCATGTATGTGTATGCATGTTGCTAGGGATTGAATCCAGGAGTGCACTACCATTGAGCTATATCCCCAGCACTTATTATTTTCTATTTTGAGACAGGGTATTGCTAACTTGCAGAGACTGGCTTTGAACTTGAGATCCTCCTACCTCAGCCTCCCAAGTCAATGGGATCACAGGTGTGCGCCATCATATCTGGCAAAATCCATACCCTTTAGCATGAAGTTTGGGATACTTCATGCCCAGGTCGAGTCCAGTCATGTCTTCTGCCTCACCTCCATCTCTAAAGTCACCCTACACCCTCACCATCCACTTCACTTCACTTCTGGTATCTACAGTCCTACTACCCGAAGCATTCTGGGTGGTGACCTTCAACTTGCCTTAACACTGAACTCTAAAGTCACCTCCCACAGGAGGCATTCCCTGATGCCTCCAGGATGAGCTACTGCCTCCAGCCAACTTCAGAGCCAAGCTTATTATGAAATAGTTGTGAAGGGTAGCACTTGCCCCACTGAAGTACAATCACTTTGCAAATCTGTCTGTCTCCCTTGATTGGCAGCTGCTTGAAGCAAGCCTGGAGCCTAATTCACCTTTTTATTTGCAGCTCTTAGTCAATCCTGATTGGAGGAGTAGGTGAACAATAAATGGATGCATTGGGCCTTACCCCTGGAGATTCAGGATTCTTACCCTTCAACTCTCAGAGCCTCAAGAGATGGCTGAGTTAGAAGCAGGCACTGGAAAACGAGCCAGTGTCTACAAGTGGTGCACCCCACTGGTGCAGTGGAGTGGCTGGGGCCTATAGACATCCTAGAAACAACCACTAGGAGTGGGTCACAGAGCAGCATTAACATGGATTCATGCCTCCTCCTAGCACAGGCTGGTGCATCAAGAAGGCAGTGGAAGGGGAAAGCCCCACCAGTAGTCTCCTGTCCTCATCTCATCACAAGCCCCAGTAATCACAGCCCATCACCTCTCCCTCTAAGGGAAGACCCCAGAAACTGGAAATCATCAGACCTGCTCCAGGGCACCAAGCAGCAGGGCCAGGTGCTAATAATCCCCTGAGAATCCCTAGGAGAGAGCATTTCCAGTTATTGAAGCCACTTCTTTACACAAGCCCACCTCCCTCCTTTCCTTGAGGGTGGGAAGAGTCCTGATGGTAATTATCATATCCCCATTTTATAGGTGGGAACATGGTTGCCCCAGAGGTGAAGCATGTCCAAGGTCACAGCAGGCAAGAGGCAGAGCTGGGACCAAGCCCACCTCCCTTCCTGGGAAACTGTTTCCCAGAGAAGCCCAATTGCCAATGGCAATAGCAAATTCCAGGAGCAAAGGTGAGAGCTAAGCCCACCCCAGCTCAGAGAATGCCAGGCCCTGGGGGAATGCCAGGCCACTGGCTCCCTCGAATAAGGCCCAGGGCCCAGGGGCAGCCCCCTTTAAGAAGCGCTCTCTTTTCCAGAAGAGCTCCAGTCTTAATTTTAGCTTGGAGGCCTGCCACGGGAGGCTTTACCAAGAGGCAGGCTGAAGTTATGTGGGACAGCTGTCAGCCGGCATGCTGGGTGGGGCCTATTTAGCCAGCAGGGGCACAGGCCCGGGGGACCCTGAACTGGTCTCTCTGCTCCAAGTGCTCTCAACCCCACCGGCCACACGGCTCCGATCTCCTCCAGAGGGTCCCCCAGCTTCACCATGATGACCGAAGAGCACACGGATCTCGAAGCCCAGATCATCAAGGACATCCACTGCAAGGAGATCGACCTTGTGAACCGAGACCCCAAAAACATTAATGAGGACATAGTCAAGGTAGGCTGGGCCCTGGGATGGCAGGGAGGGTCTCTGCCACAGGCACCGCCATCTTCTCCCAAAGACTCTTTTGTTACCCTATCTTCTCTACATCTCCCCCCAAACAAACAAACAAAAACAGACTTGTTAAACCCCCCAATGAACCTTTAGTATAAACCATCACAAAAAATTAGCCACATATCATTAGTAGCATATCAGGCCACAATTGGCAGATCACAAAGAAAATACCTTCTTACTACTCCGAGACTCTCACCATTCACTCCTGGCCCTTGTCCCGGGAGCAATAGGAATAGGTGGCCAAGTTGGGCTCTTTTCCATGCCAGAAGGCATTTCTGCGGTCTTCACAGTGGGCTCTGGGTTAATCTCCAGGAAGAGCTTCCAACAGGGCTGGCAGCCCCTCGAAGTGACACTCACTCCCCTAGAGCCCTGCCCAGGGTCTGTCCCTCATGGCCTACTAGCCATGCTCAGCTATCACCCCAGCTCTCACCTCACCTCACATTTAGGGGGCACAGCAGGACAGAGGCCTCTCAGAGGGTGCCTGGGTCCCTGAAAAGGAATGCTGAGAGTTGTCCAGCTTTCAGGAAGTGTCCCCTATCATTGCAGCCTGAAGTCGGGCCTCCTTCCTTACCAGGTGACAGGAGCAGCCTGGCTGCCTCTAAGCCCATGACTTTAACCCAGCCTCCACCTGAAAACCAAAGGGAACTTTTTAAAAGATAGTTCCTCAGAGCAGGATCCCCAGTCACCAACATTGGAGTCGCTGGAGGGGCTATTACAGGGGAAGATGGCTGGGCTCTCTCTGGGCCTACTGAATACATTAGGATCTCAGACTAGCACTGTCCCACCAAAATAGAGATGTAATATAACCCATGATACAATGGCCCTATGGACTTCTTTTACATAAACTGTAACATTATCATTTATTATTATCAAATATTACACACTGCATATAATTGTGTGTGCTAAACTTTTTACATGATAATCACACAATGACTTATTTTACACATCTTGTTTTATAAAGTTAGATTCTTTTTTAGAGTAGTCATAAGTTGACAGAAAAATTGAATGAAAGGTACGGGGATTTCCCATATCCCCACCTGCCCTGGAATTTTTAATTTTCTGGCAGACACATTTACAGAAGAAAAGCCAAACAGGTAAAACTAATTTGAATGATATTTTTTTTATGTAACCCTATCTGTCCAAAATAGTATCATTTCAACATATAGTTGACCTAAAACAATTATTAAGGAACTATTTTGTATGGTATTTCTTCACGTTTTAAATCCAGTGTGTATCTTGTTGATGACATATCTCAAAGCGTACACTAAATTTTAATCAGAAATAGATATTCTATATTTGGAGTTCAAAGACTTGCAATTGAAAGTCACATGCCCAAATTGTTCCAAACATTCTTAAAATTGTTCCCGTAATGGAATGGATGCTCAGATATCAATTAAAATTAAAGAATTTAGAATTTTAGCCCAACATAAGTGCCTAAAGCTGGGGCTACTGGATTCTACGGTTTGGCTAAGAGCTGGTTGTAAGGCACAGCCCTGGGCTGACATCCTTTACTGGGGCACCTCCCTCATTGGATCAGGCTCTAATCTCTCCAAGTGGCTTTCCAAACCCAACACAATCTGGCCCCAACCTGTTTCTTTGGCTTCCAGCTGCCAGTCCACCCACCAGAACACACCCTTTTGACCTGGGCAGAAGGGCCCACCTGCTCTCCTCTGAGTGGTGAAGGCGGGGCTCAGTCTTCAAGGTCCAACTCAAATGTCATTTCCTTCAGGAATCCTCCCCCTACTCCTCCAAGCAATCAGATGCTCCCTCTTTGGTGTCCCCCCTTCACTTGGGGCACTCTTCCATGACCTCAGAAGAAAGTGAAAAGCCACATTGGGGAAAAGGAGGAAGCAAATTTCTCTAACTATAAAGCACTATAGAAGTGTAAAATATTGTTAGTTGTGGTTTATGCAATGTGGTCTAGCAGGAATAGTTTAAGACTTAACTTTAATAGACCTGATTTCGAATCTTTTATCTAAAACAACAATAGATATGTCACCTTGGTGTTCTGAGCCTTTGCTTCTCTCTGTTAAATGGTAATCATATCATTTACCTCCCCCAGGTGAAAGTACTATAGAAATATCACATGTGGGTTAAAAGAGACAAGGGGTTTGGAAGTTTATAACAGTCCCCAGCACGCAGCAAGGGGGGGACAAATGTGAGCTGAATAGGGCCTCAAGGTACTTGCAGGTCCTGAGGGCAAGAGAACAGCCACAGGCACTGGGAAATGGAGATAAGGATTCCACAGGAGAATGTGGTTTCTGAGGGAGACCACAATGAGTCCCAAGTGTAGAAGGGACTTCTGGGTCCTACTGAGCTGAGCATGAATGTGGGCCCAGATTGTGATCCAAAGGGAGAAGTGGGGATGGCAGCACAAATGTCTAGCTTTATGCAGCCTCTCTAGAGCTATATGGTATCCTCTTCTGATGGCCCCATGCCCCCAGGAAAATAGTTCCCAAAGGCTAAACAAAAGGCCCTGCAAATAATTATGTTGAGAGGAGATTGTTGTTTGGTATTATTTGAACATTCTCTGGTTTCTAAAGCTATCTGACAATCTCTTGTTTTTAATGAGGAACAAATCAAACGTTAAAAATACAGAAAAAATAATCATAAAATAGAGTCAGATAAATACCACAGACAGGTTCAGGGAGACTTCAGGTTTATGTTATGGTCTGTTAAAGAAGAAAGACAAAGGAAGAAAGGAGAGAGGAGCCTGTGGCTAGGAGGGGTGCAGAGCAGCCTGTCTGAACAGAGTGACCTCCTGACTGCCTGGGTGCCTGCCCTCTCATGGGAAAAGACAGACACAGGGATTGAAGGAAGGGTAAGTGAGGGAGTGGGCAAAGAAGAGGAACATGTTGTCCCCTCCACCACCAGCTGCTGGAGGAAGACCAGGAGATAGACCCACTGTGTTCATGGATTTGAGCCCCACAGAGGGGAGATACTCCCTTTGGGTGATAACCTTGATCCAGACTGAAAATGAGTACCAGAGAGCCCTGAACACCCAGCAGAATTATACTGTGATCTCCAAGCCTTGGGGCGGGGCCCAGGGCAGAGCTGAAGGTCATGTGAGGCTAGTGCTGAGGAAGTGGGGAGAGCACACCCCCATTCCCTTTCCCACCCACCATCATTGCCAGCATCAACTCCTTGCTTCATTACTGAGTACCTGCTACATGCCGGGCACTGTGCTATCTCAGAGCAGATGGTATGAGCTGTGTGCAAGCCTCATGTAGGGTCTAGGGGACATAAATGCATGCCCTAAGACCCCACTCCACCCTAACCCTCCTGAGTTATTTCTGAGAGGGCTCACTGCTAGCTCCATAGCCCTCCCTCTCTCCCTAACTCATATTTTAGCACCAGGACCCTAAAGAAGCGAGGCATGCCCCCTAAGTGCCATGCAATACCTGCAGCTTCCAGATTCCACTCCTCTTTCCCCAGGTGCTCCAAGGCAACCCTTCAGAAAGGACAGGAGACAGGCCTGATCCCAGCCCTTCCCATGATACTAGTTCCTACCCCATATCTAACCACAATCAATCATAACACCTTCCCTCTTCAAACAACACCCTTCTGCCTATCAGCTCAAGCTAAGTCACAGCCAGAGGAAGCATCAGCATTTAGCACCTTCCCCAGTTCTGCACACTCCTGCTCCCAGTTTGGGTGGATCCAGGATACCTGTCACTCAAAGGAGGAATTAAACTTAATACCTCCCCTTGAAAAGAATTCAATCCAATAAAGAAGCAATGACTAGAAAAATGAGACTATACAGGGGAAGGTGCTAAACGCTATAAGTTAATGCCAGATGAAGGGTGGGGGGAGTTAGGAGAGGAACAGATTATAGATTACTTGCATGTAGTAAAATGGGCAGCCGTCTCATGGGGATATAGTATGCAAGATGCATTTTCTAAAAATGAGAAACATAGAAAATGTGGGAAGGGGGACAGGCTTTCAAGAATAGGAAAGAGAATGAGCAAAGGTGTGGAGGATTTTCACAACATTGGGAAGAATGTACAGTGCAGAGTTGATGAAGTGAGGGCCAGGTATTACCATTCCTCCTTCTTGTGTGCATGGCAGACATTATTAATGAGTCCCAGCAGGAAGCCAGGCCTCATTAGATAGTCAAGAGTTATAGCACAAGAGATTAAATTTCTTTACTAGTCTGACTGTAGAATAACAAACTGCTAAATGAGAATAGGACAGAGCATCCAAGAGGGAATTTCTTGGGGTAGAAAGCAGGAAGGGCAGGTTGAGGCTAGATTCGCAGTTCCTTTCTTTTGGGATGTCTTGTCCTCTGTCAATGACCTTTAAGAAGAGCTATGTTGAACTAACACCGAGATTTTCTGACTTAGTGTTAGGGGGATTCCTGAGAGTCAATTGGTCTACAATTTTTAAAATGTAGCCCACTTTCTTGGGGAGCTTGTTAAAATACAGATCCCTCAACCCTACCACTAGAAGTTCTTATTCAGTAGAGCTGGTAAATGTTTTGCATTTTTATGTTCAAGTGTCAGCAAATACATCCACCTCAGCCTATAGAAGACAGTTGTGGAGTCCAGAGTTATCATCTCTTTTACCTAAAGACACACTGAATCAGTTATCAATTACTGTGTGACAAATCACCCCAACTATTTTACGGTCACTCACAATTCTGCAGATTGACAGGGCTCAGCTGGGTGGTTCTGCTGAATTAGAGGGGCCCTCTCATGCAGCTTCAGTCAGATAACACTGAGGCTAAAATCATCTAGGGGCTTCAAGATGGTTCACTCATATTCCAGTGCATTGTCAAACAGAGCTCTAAGGTGGGGCTCAGTCAGGATGCTGGAATGGTTGAGCATCTCTTTGTGGTAGTTTGGAAACTCTCCCTGCATATGGCCTCTCCATCAGTCTCTAGAGGAGGTAATGGCAGTGGGCTTCTACAGCAGAGTACAATAGCTGACTCTAACACCACCAGTCTCTAACAGCAGGGTATAAAACATGATGGCTATGGGCTCCCCAAAGCAGAAGCTGCCAGGCCTTCTGAAAGCTTAGTTCTGGAACTGGCACAGCATTCCTTCTGCCACATTCTGGTGGTTACAGGCAATCACACAACAAGTGTAGACTCAAGATGAGATGAGAGTACCCATGGGCATAAACACTGAGAGGCATGACTCATCAGGGGTCATCTCTGGAGACTAGCTAGTCACACACTACATGGTACACACATCCTAGAACTCATCCAGGGCCTTTCATTTATTCCCTATTTCAGCTTTCACCAAAGGCACAGGCTGAGAGGGCAGGAGAGAGAAAGGGAAGAGCCCAGAAGGAAGACAAGTACCAGGCCTCCCTGGGATACTGATGAGGTTCTTCTGGCAGGTTCCTTTCTCTCTTCTTGCAGCCCTCTTCTTGCATCTCCTTTACGTGAACCCATGAACCCCAGTCCCTTTATGCTCCAACCCAGGTGCTCCTAGTACCCCACTAGGATGCTATTTATCACAAGCTCCAGATGATGCCTGGTTACCTCCTATGCTGTGTTCTGTGTCTCATCCTCCTGGAGATCCTGAATCCTGTGGTGATCCTGGACTAGGTCACAGCAAAGGAGACTCGGGCCCATTCTTTGTTGTCAGGCTGATTTGGACATCACTCTGCTTGGCCCTTATATGAAATAACAGATACATGGCCAGAACTGACATCTATGAGGGTCAAATGCATTGTGGGTGTCCTATGGTCACCCCAGATTGTACAGAATTCCATTATTATCATATCTAACAAAAGAAGCAAAGCTTTACCATTTTGAAGCTATTTTGCAGCTATTACCTCAGTTTAGCTTCTAATTTTATCAGCCAGTGCTTCTCAAATACCTGGGTAAAGGGCTGCTTTTATTAAGTCTGCTCTGATCTGTTGTACAACAATACTTTTGTAAAATGCCATAAAAATTAACTACTCAGGAAATGAAATGAAAAATAGGCATACAAATACAAGCTCCAATTCTTTCTTATTATTGGATTTAATAGACATAAAATTACTGTATCAAATTTTTTTGAATATTTCTAAGTGCTTTTTCTCAATTTCTACTGACCTTGCTGGGGTAGGATGGAGGAGACACTAACTTCCTTTAAGTTGCAAAGTAGCAAGTAAAAAAATGAAATCCAGAAAATTAGACCAACTTGCTTGATTCTTCTGGTTCCAGAGCTAGTCCCATCCACTGTGGATCTTGTCTCAGTCCTCTCTGTGTAAAGTTAAACAAACAAATAAAATCAAAAACAAAGAGAGAAAAAAAGTACCCTAAGGACCAGAGAGGGAAAGCACCATGCCCAAAATCACACAATTACTCAGTGGTCAGTAGAGAATGGAACCATAGAGCTATTTACCTCTCTTTTGAGATATTTTATCTGAACATTCCAGAGCCCTGGATGCCCAAGGCCTGAGTCATGCAGGACTCTGGGGAGGTATTTTTGACAGGAGTGACTGCTGGCCTCCCTGGAATTCTAGGCAACTCCACGGCCTGTATTCCTCTACCCTCTCAAAGTCTGTGGGGGCCTTGCGGGCTCATTCCTATTAATCAACTAGCTTTCTTGCTGTTCCAAAAAAATAAATATGCCAGAGAAAGGGACACCAACTGAATGAGCAACCATTGGTCTCCCCCTTTTACTCTTCACCCTCTCTCCAGCAGGACAAATAGCCCCAAGGCTCAGCCAGTGAATTGAGTCCCCCATTTCTCACCCTCCAAGCAAAAGCCTCTCCACCTCCTGAAAGGAATTAAGAAACAAAGTCACTGTGTGCTCCTGATACGCTGGCATCACTGCCTAGAGCTGCTTGAGCAGAGTCTTAAAATCATCTGTCTCCCCACACTAGCACATTGTGGCAAAGTTCTTTTAATGCTCAAATCTGAGTTAGGGGAACAGTGGCCTGCTCTCAGCAAAGCACAGCCCTCTAATAGCATACTTTCTGATTCACAGAAAACAGGGCCGTTACCTTGTGCACAGCACTCAAAGGCAATCCCTAGAAATAATTCAAATGTCAGCACCACTGTCTTCTGCAAAGAGATGACAATCAAAAGACACAACAGAGAGGTCCTTGAGAGTGGAATTATGACTACAAACAGAAAATGAGAGCAAGGAGGATTCCATCCATCTTACCATCTCAGAGTGAGACCCACACATAAATATTTATGACTCGGTAGGTTGCTAGAATGGTCATTTGTGATCTGGGATGTCAACAGAATTTTTGAGATATATTTTCATAGAAACTCCAGAGGATTTGAACAAATAATTCCCATCAGTGTGTACTTATCATATGCGATACATTATGCTAAGCACTGCCCAAGAGGTGGTATGAGGAAACAAAGTGGATCTCCATAAATACTTGTTTGAATACATGGGTGGATGGATGGATGGATGGATGGATAGATGGATGGATGGTTGGTTGGTTAAGAGGAAAGAAAGACTGATGGGCAAGTGAATAAATGGATAAGTGAATGGGTAGGTAGAAGTATGGATGGATGGAGGAAGATGGGTAGGCTGATGGATGGACACATGAAAAGGTGGATAGATGGTTAGATGAAAAGATAAGTAATAGATGAATGAATAGATGAATAGATGGTAGAGTATAGATGAATGGATGAATAGATGAAAGAAAAATTATCTCTATTCTTAACAATAAGAAAAAATGGCAGCTCCATTTTATAGATTAGGAGATGAAGCTTGAAAAAATTAAGTGACCCTTCAAAGTCACTCATCTGGTCAGCATCTGCTCTGGATGCAAACCCACCTTTGTACTCCAGCTTCCTGTTGAGGAAAACACTCTAGGATGATCTCCAACAACAGTTGAATTCATCAGCTTTCTGTTACTAGAATAAATACCTGAAATAACCAACTTACAAAGAGCAAAGGTTCATTGTGGCTCACAGTTATGCAGGTTCCAGTACATGATTGGTTGGCCCTATTGCTTTGGGCCAAGGGATTTGTGACAAGGTAGTAAGTCATAGGGGAAGTGCACTATGAGCTAGCCATTTACTTCATGGCAGAGGAGTGCAGGAGAGAAAGAGGAAGGGGAAGTGCCCCATTAATCTTTTCAATGACCTAAAGACCCCTACAAGGTCACACCTCTTAAAAGCTCCACTACCTCAAAATAGCACCACCCTGGAGACTATGCCTTTAATACATGGGCCTTTGGGGACATTTAAGATTCAAACTATAATGACAGCTAGCAGTTCCTAATCAGGTATTCTGTGCCAGTGTTTTGAGTATTTGCCTTAATTTATTTAATTAAATTCTTGCCTTAATTTATTTAATCCTCTGACAACTACTGTAAGACAAAGCTGGGAAAACAAGGCATAGAAAAGCTCAATGACTTGCTCAAGGTCAAATCCAGTCTGTCTGCCTGCCAAGGCCAAACTTCACCCTCCCTGATAAGCACAGCACAGACAGAATCTACTTTGGGGTTGACCTTATTTGAGACAGTGGATTAGAGTCAAGATGTCTAAATTCAATCTGGCCCTGTGATGCTGGCCAGGACCCCCTTCTGGGCCTGACTGCCCACCTGAAGTCAAAGAGGCAGGTCTGGGTAATCTGTGAATAGGGAGGTTCTGTTCTAAGGATACCCACTAGAAGACTGGACAAGCCACCAGGTGCTGAGCAGAGGAAGACGGGAAAGAGCATTAACTGATGGGATGAGGCAGACATGCAAGGCTCTATCCGAATGCCTATCTCTGCTGGAAGGTTTCTGAGGCCACACAGCATCTCTAGAAGCCAGTCCAAAAGGTATCAGGCACAAGACAGGCATCAGCCAATATGGGGGTAGGGCAGGTTGCTGAGATCAGAGCTTCTCAGTTGGCAGGATCCAAGCCCTGGGCATTTGACTGAACAGACCCATACATAAGCAGGCAGATTATATGCCCAGTCAAGTTTGGAAGGGACTCCCAGGGTACCCTCCCCACCTTCTCCAGTTTAAAAACTCCCTCAAGAAATAGCAAGTCTAGATTTTTGTCCCATATAAACCAGATGTAGAAGATTCCAGCCCTGCACTGGGGTTATCACTCAGTGGTAAAGCACTTCTCTAATATGTACAAGGCCCTAGGTGCTATCCCCAGCACTTCAAAACAGATAAAAAATGATGCCATCTCTTTCCATCCAGTCTCCAAAGCCATCAGATGTTCCCAACCAACTTGGGCCCTCTTATCCAAATATCTAGCGTATGTCTTTTCCATCTCTGCTCTAAGAACCACGGTTTTCCCAGGTTTTCATCCATTCACCACAACCTGGAAGTCCTTTAGGAAGAAGTTACATACTTCTAAGAAGTTTAGGCCCATATTCTTCTCTTCTCCCATCCATGGGGTCATCTAAGAGGTTAAGCCATCTCCATCAAAACAACCAGGGGCTAAGATTATACAGGGAGGGAATCCTGTGGCCCTGCTGACTCTTCATCCTGCAGCCTAGAATCTCACCATACAAACTTTGCTGCCCATTAATCTACTACCCTAAGTAGGACCTCATACAGGATGTATAGGAGGATCCATGGATCTGAGATCTGGTGCAAGAGCTCAGAACTGAAAGCCGTATGAGAAAAAGGGATCCAAGATTCCTTGAGCATCATGGTTCTATGCACTCCCTTTTCCAAAAAGCATTATTCTAAAAAGAAATGCACCAAAGCAATACTTTTAGTATTAGACAGATACAAATCAGAGACAATTTTTTTGTTGTTCATTTTTTTCCATTCTCTTCATTTTCTGTGATGTGGCTCTATCTTTTATAATGAAAAATAATTGTAATAATAACTGCCCAATGGGGAAGGAATCATCTCCCCATAGCCACAGTGGGAAAGGAAAGCCCTGGAAGACTGAAATCAGATCTCTGGTCTCAGCTGCCCACATAGGCCTCTCCCATTAGTCTAATTAGTCTGTGATTTTATTTAACCCACTTTTATTAGACAGGAAATATCTCAGACAGGACTAAGACTGCATTAGTCAGCTTTTTGTCACTGTGACAAATACCTAAAATAATCAACTTAAATGGAGGAAAGGTTTGTTTTGACTCATGGTTTCAGTCCACAGCCTCTTGGACTATGGCTTTGGGCCTGTGGTAACACAGTACATTCTGGCAAGAGCACATCACCAAGGAGGCTTGTTCACCTCATGGAAGCAAAGAGACAGAGGAAAAGGAGGGGCTGTTATTCCAATATCCCTTTCAAGGGTACCCCCACCCAATGACCTAACTTCCTCCCACTGAGCCCCACCTCTTGAAGCTACTACCACCTCCCAGGAGTGCCAACCTGGAGACCAAGCCTTCAACATGAAGGTCTTTGGAGGACACTTAAGATCCAAATGATATAAAGGGCATTTCTATAATAGATTTTCTCACAACGGCAAACAGCTCTTCAGCCTCCCAGTTGGTAAGATGTCCTGGTCATACCACTGGGTCCACCTGTCATCAAGCCCTAGTGTACATTCAGTGCTTTTCAATTGTCTCATGAATTTAACAGCCTTCCATCCTTTCATCCTGGAGAATATACTGAAATGTGGGTCATTACCTCTACTTTACAGAGAAGGCAGAGGATATAGTGATGCTAAACGTCATCACCTAAGAGTGATCGGCTAGAAACGATGTTTAATGCACAGCAGGAACCTCAGAAAGGTTAGGTAAATGGCTTGGCTGAAAGTTACCTTTCTTTTATATCCATTGATTTTTTTTTATTTCCCACATGAGGCCTCAGTCACTTCCTCCATGGGTTGTATGAACTGAAGTGAGCCCCCACATTCCTGGGGAACAGGGAAGAAGGCCTATAGTTACTGTAGAGCTAGGACAAGGAAAATGAACTCAGCCTTCACTCATGAGGCTCTTCAGGCAAGGTTAGCCACACCTAGTTTCAGACACCTTTATAGTCAGTGAAGCTTGCTCCAGAAATAGACCTCACTTTGCCACAGGTCAGAGTAGCTCCTTTCTGTACCTATGCACCTTTCTCTAACTCACTACCACTACCTTACACCAGGAACCACCATGTCCTAACTGGCCCTGCACCATCCTCACTCCCAGTCTTACCAATTGCCCTAATAGCAGCAGCCAGAATGAGCTGCTTGAAACCCAGATCCTACCAAGCCACCTCAGACTAAAGCCCTCAAAGGGCCACAGCACTGAGAGAGCCCAGATTCACTCTACAGTCTCCTTTCTGGTCTTGCACTTGGCCTTCCAGAAGTACCTGCATCTTCTGAGAGCCCACACTGTCTATCCCACTAGCTCCTAGCAGTTTCTTCTCCTTCAGACCCAAATACTATTTTTCAGGGCATAACTCCCTCTTTACCTGATCATCTTCAGATATCAGCTTCAGCTAGATGTCTCTTCCTCAATGAATTTTCTTTAACCCCTGCTCTGAGTTAAATGCCCTGCTTGGGGGTACATTTCCCCTATTCTCCCCTTAGCCTGGCACTTATAACTGCCTACCATAAGCTCCATGAGGGTAGGAACCTGTGCTTGTTCACCATTCTATCCACAGGTGCTCAGCACATCCTTGCAGGATGAATATGATTGTTCAACTCCCTTAGGATCTTAAAATAATAGAATTTGGGAGCTTCGCAGTGAGCTTTCTCTCCCTGTAACAAACACCTGAGATAATCAATTAATAAAAAAAGAAAATTTACTTTGGCTCACAGTTTTGGAGGTTCCAGTCCATGGTTGATTGGCCCCATTGCTTTTGGTGCTGTGGCAAGGCAGCACATCATGACAGGAGTGGAGCAAAAGTGCTCACCTCAGGACCATAAGTAAAAAAGAGAGAAGGCAGGGCCAGGGTCTCACAGTCCCATTCAAGGGCACACCCCCAATGACCTAAAGACCTGTTACTAGGCTCCACCTCTTAAAGGTTCCAACACCTCCCAGCAGCATCATTCTGGGGACTAAACCTTTAATACATGGGCCTTTAGGGACATTCCAGACCCAAACTATAGCAGGACTCATGGCTCTAGCACTGCCTCAAACTTACTGTTGGCTTTGAGCAAGTCACTGGACTTCCCAAGGCCTGCTTATCCATCTATAAAATGAGGAGGTTGGACAAGCTCTTCATTGTACCTCACTATTGCAGCAGGGGGTGTCTCAGCACAGGTGGGGACTAGCAGCACTGACATCAGGAAAATTTGTTAGAAATGCAGAGTCTTGGGCCCAGCCAGACCTGCAGTCAGAATCTTCTGGGGATGGGATTTGAAGAGCCCATCCAGGGGATTCTGAGCCACACACGTGAAAGCTTGAGAAGTGGGTGGATGCAGTGCATTGAGAATCTCTCATCCCATCCCTGCAGGTGGATTTTGAAGATGTGATTGCAGAACCCGTGGGCACCTACAGCTTCGATGGCGTGTGGAAGGTGAGCTACACCACCTTCACTGTCTCTAAGTACTGGTGTTACCGCCTGCTGTCCACGCTGCTCGGCGTCCCACTGGCCCTGCTCTGGGGCTTCCTGTTCGCCTGCATCTCCTTCTGCCACATCTGGGCGGTGGTGCCATGCATTAAGAGCTACCTGATTGAGATCCAGTGCATCAGCCACATCTACTCTCTCTGTATTCGTACCTTCTGCAACCCAGTCTTCGCTGCCCTGGGTCAGATCTGCAGCAACATCAAGGTGGTGCTGCGGAAGGAAATCTAAAGCCAAGTGGGGCAACAGGGATGGTGGGGCAGGGAGAATCAGGCCAGGCTGGCTCCCTAGGTGCTGCTCCATGGGAGGTGCTGGAGAGCTCTTTTTCTTTAGGGACTGCTCAATTCTCCCCCAAGATGGGAGCACACAGTATAAGGAAGCCATAAAGAAAAGAGCCCAGCTACAAAAGCATTGTGGCTCTTCACTCTGCCCCAACCCTGCCAAGATGCCCCCATGATTGGGGCTGGGGGAAGATGGTTTCTAAGAGGCAGCTACTGCAAGTTTTTGCATTCACTTGTACTGTAACAGCGTAAACCAGAATCAGTTCCCACTCAGGGTCAACCTGTCCACACCCGAGAAAGAGACCAGTGACTGTTGGTGTGGGGAGGGTGGCTCCAATAAAGGATTTCAGCTGCACTGAGGGAATGCTATGCTTTGTTTGTGTCCATAAGGTTGGTATGTGTCCTGACCAGTCCTGGAAATACATTTCACTCCCTGAGAAGCAGAAGTGTGGAAAGTTGGTGGAACCAGAATCAAGTAGTTTTTCTTGGGATTCTACTTGTTTACTGGATAACTGTTCTGCCATGTTCATTAGGAGATTACTTATAAATGACTTCAATTGTCCCTGAATCAGATAATGATACCAATAGAGGAAAATGGTCCATGAGCTGGCAGGATGGATATACTTTAGGACAGATATACCTCAGGGCAGGGCTCAGCCTCAAATCTTTCTGAACTGCTGAGTCTTTGGCTCACCAGAGACTAAGCCCTGGCACTTCTGGCCTTTCCACTTGGTATGTGCACTTCTTCATCCCTAAGAGATGTGAAGTCCCATGTGTGTCTGTGTGGATTCATCAGGAGGATAAAAGCAACAGAATTGACATGCCCACCTCTTTCCACCCTCCTAATGACAACAATAAACACACACACACACACATACACACACACACACACACACACACAACACACACATTGCGCATGCGTGCGCACGCACACACACACCCACACACCCAGCAATCTTACCATTCTTGGAACTGCTTTTCCCAAGTATGCTGTCCAGAAATTAGTCCTCAAAAAAAAAGTAAAAATTAAAATTACAGAGGTTAAGGAGGTTAGTTTCTGTAGCCAAATTTGTTTAGAAATGCCATATATTTCTCTTGGAGACTTTCAGTAGACATTAAATAGCACATTAAAGTTTCTGACAAGTTCTGCAATAAAGAAACCCATTTAGGCCATATTATCCCCAGCCCAGATCCTATTTAACCTCTCTTCCTTTTTCATAAAACATAATATCTCATAAAATTAAAGTTCCAAAACATTTTACAAGTTGACAGAGGCATTACCTCATTGGTGCCTGGCCACAAGCCCAAGGGGTCTTGGGAAACAGTGTGTTAGAGTTAGGACACAGAAGGATTTGGTTCTGGTATCGCCTCTGTTCCTAGTTCCTTTCTCTGGCCTCAGTGTTATTATCCATGAAAATTATCTCTATTTCAGCTCTAAAATTTTGCTCCTGTTTTTGTTTTTAATATAACATCTAATGTGATTTTCAAATGTAGAAAAATTGAAAGGGTTTACAGTATACCTGTATACCCACCATCTTGGCCCTACGATTAACATTCTACTGCCCTTGCTTTATCACATTTTTATCTGTCCATCCATCCTTCTATTTATCTGTAGTCTCATTTTGATGCATTTTAAAGTAAGTTGTAATATCAGTCCATTTTACCTCCAAACACTTCACCATTCAATCCTTTCTTTCGAAGATGAGAAAAATGACAGCTCAGAGAGGTCAGCAGACTCTCTAAAAGTTGCACAGTCAGCAGGCGTAAGCACTGTGTTCCCAGACCACTACACTCTGTGCTCTGCCCTGGGGCTTGACCACATTCTCTAGTGGACTCTGCAAGCCCTGGATCCTCTTGCTGAAAAGGATTAAGGCTGGTGTTATATCCTCCTCGAAGGATCTGCCCTTTCAAATGCCCTTCTCACAATCATTGGGCCATCAGTTTCAAATCTGCAATCTTGGGTTAGACAGAGGTTCTCACCACAGTGGTATTTGCTATAACTGCATTGGGCTATGGCTCCAATTTTTCCAGGCCACTCTTTCTTTAAGGCAGACTATGGCAGGTGCTTAATGATCCATGAGATTCATGGAATTGGAGGAAGGATGCATATGTGAGGAATATGTACATCTGAAGAGTTCTGTCCCCTCCAGGAATCCCACTGAGAAGCAGCAGCAGAGCACATTGTGGGTATGACGAGAAAAGATTCCAAGTAGAAGGACAGAGAAGTCCCTCTTATGTTCTGTATGCATTATCAGCAACTTGTGTTTTAACTGCATGTTCTGGGGCCCCATCTTCAGAGACTGATTCAGTAATAGGGCCCCAGAATCTACATTTAATGCAAATCCATCCATGATTCACATGTGAATTGCAAATTCCCCTTTAAGAATTATTTGTCAAGGTCCTTTCAAGGTAACAAAACAGAATCCAGTTTATCTCCAGAGTCAGACTGTGGGTCATGTAGATTCAGGTTATATCACACAAAAGGGTTTTTTTTTTTTCAGGGTCTTAGAGCATTTTCCAACAGACCAATACATCTACCTGGGATTCTGGAGAATGGAACCAGGACCCCTTTATGTCCCCTGCTACAACCCATGCACCTGCATCAGGCAGATGACTGTGTAGTACTAAAGGAGAAATGGAGTCTAAAAACCACCAGATACGGTGCCTCTTCTTGGAGGGAGTAACAAGACAAAGCAGTGTATGAAAAAAAGATGTTTATTAAGTGCACCTTTTACAAAGCAGACATATCATGATTGGCCACGTCACTCACCAGTTAGCACAGTACACAGGAGTACCAGAGGAGGTCACCACAGTGGAACAAAACCAACACTGCATGTTTAGTGGTATATCATTGCAACTGGATACAAAAAAAAGAAAAAAGTGAAGAACTCTGAAACCAGGATCTTCATCAAAGGCATTATGTCCCCTTGCATTTTCTGAAATGGTGACTCATAGACTCATCTCCAAAAGGAGATCACATTTGCAGAAGATTTTTTTTTTCGGGGACTAAAGAAATAATGCTCAGGGTCTACACATTCACTTTTGATGATGAGAACTCGGAAACACTCCAGAAGGCTCCAGCTGACTGGCACCTCCAGTCATGCACATGGTTTGTGAATTGGCCTGAAACTGTAGGAAGAGGCAGGTGCTGGGCAGACCTCAGGCAGGGGGTCTGGGAAAAGACATAGATAACCAAAGTCCAGAGAACATTTTGGACCTCTGCACTCATTCTTCCAGACTTAGGTTGGAGAAAGAGACAATGAAAAATATTCTCAGGGAAGAGATTGGGAGGGGAGAGGTATAGATTCAGGAGTGTTGTGGAAATCAAATGTCACTTATATACCATGAAACACAGACTCTGCTATCTTTATAAGACCCCAGGTACTAGTAAGGGCTTTCATATGAAGAGAATGATGACCTATTGGGTTTGATGCCTAAGAACCTCACAACTCCAGGGTCCCAGGAAGGTAACTATCCCCTTGGTCCTCATTGACCTCAGTTGGCTCTCAGGAATAGCAGGACCAGAGCATTTGCAAGGCACAGACCACATCACCACTGCATTTGTACCCCAAAGCTCTAAGACATGGGCACAGAGACCCAAAATAAGCATCCTGTTAGCTTCCCAAAGAGGAAGGACAAGCTGGTGTTGGCACTCTGAGCACATGTCATAGCACCATGGTGCAAGGTCTGAATCCAAAGATGGTATTGCCTTCCATCTCTGGTTGGTACTGAAGATCTTGTACTAAATTGTAAGAGGTTGAGCACTGGCACTTCGGTATGTGCCTCTCCTCTCCCAGAACATCTAGACCATGCTGGCTCATTTGTGTGCATTGTGTGTATGTGTGTGTGTGTGTGTGTGTGTGTGTGTGTGTGTGTGTGTGATGGACCTCTGGCTTTTGGAAAGTGCTCTTGCTGTATCTCAATAAATTAAAAAATGTGTATAGTTATTCAAAGGTGCCCCAGAGTGCACTAAGCTGACCAGTCCCAGACAGAAAATCTCTAATCAATACTGTCCTGTATTTAATGACTAAAGGAATTTCTATTTCTTAGACATAGTCAAGTCCTATCCATGGGCTGAGAGGACATTTGAGAACATGTTTATCAGAAAAGCAGAATCTTTGAGGCCCTTGGAGAATTGCTATTCTAAATAAAACAAGACCATCTACAGCTACAAGTGTCCCTTGTGCCTTTATTAAAGCCAGGTGAGGGCGTTATCACCACCTCTGCTGTTGGCCAAAATGGAAACATGCTCTCTTGCAGAAACTCGGAAGCGGTGAGTCACATAAGAAACAAGAGCTCAGGGAGGTAAGAAATTCCAAGCAATTCATCCATCATGCTGGCTTTCCCTGAATTCAACTGCAGAATATTTTTTATCTTGTATCTTTTACACGTGCAGTTCAGATACACATTAAAAAAAAAAAACCCCGAAAGTCAGTTCTCAAAATTGTGCACCAATTCCAGACCATTTTCACCACCCAAAAAATGAACCCAATCCTCTTTGAAGTTGCTCCAATTTCCCGTAGCTTCCAGCCTCTGAAAACCTTTACTCAATAGTCAATTTCTATAGATTTATCTGGACATTTCAGACAAAAAGGATCAAATAATGTGTGACTTTTGGAACTGTTTTCTTTTACTCAGCATTTTTTTAAGGTTCATCTATGTTGTAGTATGAATTGGTACTTTAAAAATTTTTAATATATATTTTTAGTTGTTGACAGACCTTTATTTTTATTCACTTATTTATATGCGGTGCTGAGAATCAAATGCAGTGCCTCACACATGTTAGGCAAGCACTCTACCACTGTGCCACAACCCCAGGCTAGTACTTCTTTTTTATGGCTAAATAATGTTCCACTACATAGATAATTTTTTAATCCATTCATCAGTTGGTAGACAATTGGGTGTTTCTTCTTTGGGACATTAATAAATAATGTTGTAGTCAACACTGGTATGCAAGTTTGGGTATGTATATATATCTTTTGATTTGTCTTAGGTTTAAACCAAAGAGTGGTACTTCTAGATGCTACAGTCATTTTATGCTTAACTTTTTGAGGAACTGCCAAACTGGTCTCCACCATGGCTGCATCATTTGCATTCCCACTAGCAAATTCTGAAGGTTCTACTTTCTCTACATCTTTGTCAACACTTCTTATTGTCCAGCCTTTACACTGTAGCCATCTTAGTAGATGTGAAGTAGAATCTCACTGTGGTTTTGACATGCATTCCCCTAATGAAAAATAATAATGTTGAGCATCATCCTTCTGCTTATTTGTGACTTGTATATCTTCTCTGGAGAAATATCTATCCAAATCTTTGCCTATTTTTAAACTGGCTTCTTTTTGTTTATTTATTTTAAGAGTTCTTTATGTATTCTGTATACACATCCTTTATCAGATAATATGATTTGCAAATATTTTCTCCTATTCTGTAGTTGTCCTTTTACTCTCTGGATATTTACAGAAGTTTTATATTTTGATGAAATCCAATGAATCCATTTGTTCTTATATCTTTGGTATCACATCAAAGCAAAATTGTATAATCCAAGATCACACAGTTTTTTTTTAAGCAGGATGTAGATTTATTGTTTATATAGGGTTGCAACCAGGTAAGATCACACAGATTTATGCCTGTTTTCTTCTAAGTGTTTTTTTAGGTTTAGCCTTTCCATTTAGGTCTTGGATAAATTTTGAATTAGTTTTTGGTATGGTGTGGGTAAGGGTCCAACTTCATTCTTCAGTGTGTGCATATTCAGCACCAGTTGTTTGAAAAATGATTGTTTCCCTACAGAATCATCTTAGTTCTCTTGGTGAAAATAAATTGACCATAAATATAAGGACTATATCTGTACTCTCTATTCTATTCCATTGTTCTAAATGTCCATCCAGAATTCAGTTCCACACTGTTTTGATACTATAGCTTTATAGTAATTTTAAATCAAAAAGTGTGAATCCACCAAATTTCCTTTTCTTTTTCAAGGCATTGTTTGGTCATTCTGGGTTCCTTGAATTTCCTTACAAGTTTTAGGAGCAGCTTATCAATTTCTGCAATTAATCCATCTAAAATTTTGATAAAGATTTCATTGAATCTGTGCAACAATTTGGACAGTATTGAGGTCTTAGCAATATTAAGTCTCTGATCCATAAACACAGGGTGTCTTTCCATTAATATAAGACTTTTATTTTAATGATATTTTGTAGCTTTCAAGGCACAAGTCTTACATTTCTTTTGTTGAATTTATTTCTATTTTATTGTTTCTGATGCTATTATAAATGGAATTGTTTCTTAATTTTTGAATTGTTCATTGGTAGTATAAAGAAATGCATTCAATCTTTATGATTTGATCTTCTATCCTACAACTTTGGTGAACTCATTTATTTAATAGGGGTGTGTGTGTGTGTGTGTGTGTGTGTGTGTGTGTGTGTGTGAATTCCTTAGGATTTCCTATATATACAAAATCGTGTCATGTACAAATAGCTTTACTTCTTCCTTCCGATCTGGATTCCTTTTAGTTCTCTTTCCAAAATGCTTGTTAAATATTAGCTTCTTAAACATTTTCAAGCCAAGTTCTCATTTGTTATCTATGCCAGATGGCCTTAGAGGGGATCTCCTCCTCCAAGGGCAATCTCCTGACAGCTGGTCCCCAAAATGTTAAGATTTGTCCACTCAAAGGCAAAAACACTCTCTCTGAGGTCAGGAGGAAGTTAGCACCACCCTCACCATCTGAAGTCCCACCCCCACTAATATACCAAGCCCAGAACACCTGATCAAGTTGGTTACTAATCCCATACTTATTACCTTTCATAAGAACCCATAATAAAGGAGTAAAAAGATATTGGAGAGGTCCAGGGGAGAAAAGTACCACCCACTGCAGAGAATAGCCATGGGGTCAGGGTAACAGAAGTACCTGTAGGAGCTCAGGGTGACTATCTGATGGAGGAGTCACCCTATCATCTTCCACCACAGAAACCTCTTCCCCACCCCAAACCAGTTCCCCATCACCCTCAAGCTACCCCAAGGTATAGAGGGACACGAGCTGATCAGTACCTGATACATACATGTACATGGGCCACCAAGGGGTAGACTGTGTCAGCACAACCCAGCCTCAGGAGGTGGCTTTGACCCAGACCAGTGGGTCACGCTGTTGATGGCTGGGAGCAGCTCCTCTGGCTGGAGCTGCGTCGGCTCAAGACAAATGTGGAGGAGTTGCTCTTTTTGCTGACGCTAGTCTCTCCTGGGCGGCTACCCTTCAGATGGCTGGAGGAGCAGCAGAGGAAGCGCTGTACCAGTTCATGGAAGAGGTGGCCCGTGAAGAGCATGTAGATCCAGGGGTTGCAGCAGCTGTTGAGGCTGGCCAGGAGCATGGCAATGATGAAGGCCGAGGCTGTGGGTGTGGGAAGAGGCAAACAGGGCATCACTGTGGGAGCCTTCCGGCACCATCTGATTTATCCATTGTTTCCTAGCAACAGCTTTTTCCATGTACCACTACCAACATCACAGGACAGGGCACTAAGGAAGCAATGAATGTCTTCCTTCTGAAACCTTGCTCTGGGAATCCTTTCCACCCCTGGAACAGTCTCCCCCTTTCTCGTATCCAAGCATAAGATATATGCATACATACCTGTTGTATGCCTCCATTGGCAGGAACAGTACACACAGCAGCCACCTGATCATTCATCACTCACCCAGCATGTGTTGAGACCCTACTACTTAGAAGGTCAAAGAGCAAAGTCCAGAAGCTGCCAGCCCTAGTTTGCATTATAGTCCCAGCAGTGACAAATCACTTTAGTTCCCCCAAGAAGCTTTGATTTCCTAATCTTTAAACAGGTATAATGTGAATATCTAAGTCTCCTGGAAGGTGGCAAGGATTAGATTAGAGTATGCCCAATAAATGGTGGCTGCTATCATGACAATGTGCCAGGCATCAGGCTCAGCACTGAGGAAACACACACTCAAAACAAAAATGAAATGGGAATGGAAAAAATTTAATCCTAGGTACTTTCAATCAGAGGAGAAAAAAATCTAGCTATTATGGTTTATATATGAGGTGTCCCCCAAAAGCTCTTATGTTAATGTAGGAACATTCAGAAGTAAAATTATTAGATTATGAGAGCTGTAACCTTATCAGTGGATTAACTCATTATATGGTTAATAATGTGAATGAATTAGCTGGGCAGTAAGTGTAGGAAGCAGAAAGAAGTTGGTCACGGGCGGTGGTGCTGCCTTTGGGGGTCATATTTTGTCCCTGGTATGTGTCTGTGTGTCTCTCTGTCTCTGACTCTGTCTCTCTTCTAGCTGAACAGTTTTCCTCTACCATACCCTCCCATCATGATATTACCCCTTAATGACCTCAGGCTAAGAGCAATGGAGTTGGCTCACTGTGGATTGAACCTTTAAAACTGGGAGCCCTGAGTAAACTTTTCCTCCTCTAAGTTGTTCTTGTCCAATATTTTGATCATAAATGACAAAAAGGTGACCAGCACATCTAAGTTTCTTTCAATGGTCTTAAATCTGATAAACAGCAGACTTTAGCCAAAGATGAGGCCAGACCCCATGAGAAAAAAACAATACAACAACATAACCAAGAATTCCCTTCACAGTCATATGTTTATGAGCAAAGATGATCACAATTAGTCTGGGGAATCCACCAGTCTTTTGTCTTTTCTGAAAAATCTTCCAGAAATAACTCCAGAATTCAATTCAAGAGTTATATCCAGGGAAGAATTCTTCACACAGAGGTTTGTTTTCGTTTTGTTTTGTTTTGTTTGTTTGTTTGTTTGTTTTGTCAGCATAGTCTCTAAGCACCAAAAGGAAAAGGGCAGTGGTCCTTCTAAGACACATCCAAGGGAGTGATTCTCAAAGTTGGGCCCCCAGAGCAGCAGCAGCTCATTTGTTGGAAATGCAAATTCTAAGACACAATCCCAGAACCACCCAATCAGACCCTCTGGAGAAATTTGCTTTAAGAAGCCCTCTGAGTGGTTCTGATATACACCCAAGTTTAAGGACTGATTAACTGGTGCACCTGTTGGAATGAAAACATACTACAATGGACAAAAACCAAATATGTTGCAAAACAAGATTTTTAGAAAGCAAAGGAAAGGAATCTAATCTTTATTTAAAAAAAAAGAATAGAAAAGAGGAAAAGTCAAAGGGGGAAAAATGCCACTTTCATTGAATTCCTTGGTTTTTATAAAAGAATTTTTTAAAAACCTGCTTCTGTTTTGGATGGTTTGGAAGATGAAATTAAGTTTAGAATGTCTGGTAAAATATTTTAGATTTAATTAAAAATCACCCACAAGACTAGAAATAGGATGTGTTTGAAATCATAAAAGAAGCAAAATCAACATATAACAGTCAAAGTTTTTAAAAGGCATCAAAAAGTAAACTGTTAGCCACAAAAGGAAGAATAAGGGGATGAAGTGGGGCAGAAGGAAATATACGGAATGAAGTTCACACCTGGAAGGAAAGCCTCCCAATTTTACTTTATATGATACAAGTGAGGCGTACCTAGTAGGAAAAGGAAAATCCCAAATGCTCCAAAATCAGAAACTTCTCAACCTGATACAATGTCACAAATAGAAACTTCCACATTGGACCTAATATGACAGATCACAGTCAAAACACAGCTGCACTAAAGCTGTCCTATGAAATGGTCTTATGTCTATCTGTATACATTGTAAATGAAACAAATGAACTTCATGTTTAGGCTTGGGTCTCTTCCCTGTTATAGTTTACATATGAGGTGTCTCTGGAAAGCCCATGTCTGAAACAATGCAAGAAAGTTTGGAGGTAAAATGATTGGGTTATGAGAGCCTTAACCTCCACAGTGCATTAATCCACTGATAGGGATTAGTTAACTGAGGTCAACTGTAGGCAGGCAGGTTGTGGCTGGAGGAGGTGTCACTGGGGGCATGCCTTTGGGATTTATATTTTGTCCCTGGTCTGCAATGTCTGCTTCCTATTGCCATGCCCTGAGCTGCTTTCCTCTGCCATACTCTGCTACCATGATGTTCTGCTTTACCCTAGTTCCAGAGCTGTGGAGTCAGCCGCTGTCTATGGACTGAGACCTCTGAAACTGTGAGCCAAGTAAACTTTTCCTCCTCTAATTGTTCTTGTCTGGTCTTCTGCTCACAGTGGCAAAAAAGCTGACTAAAACATTCCTCAAGATGTTACATGATAGATAGATAGATAGATAGACAGGCAAATATTCCAAAGCCCATCCCTTCCCAAATACAAATATATATACAAAATCTGAAATACTTCTGGTTCAAAGCATTTCAGATAAGGGATCCTCAACCTATAATCTTGTCTATTTATTTAATCTATTTGCCTCACTCTTTACATTTACACCTTCTAACTTTTATATTCTTTTAAATTTTTTTTTTGGTACAGGTATTAAATCCAAGGACCCTTTAACACTGAGCTATATCCCCAGCCCCTTTTTATTTTTGAATTGCCAAGGCAACTTGAACTTGCAATCCTCCTGAGTCACCAAGACTACAGGCATGTGCCACCACACTCGGCTATCCTATTTTTCAAAAAAAAAGAAAAACAACAGCAAGAAAAAGTAAGTAATTAATTACTATCTAGTCACATAAGCCTTTCTGTCTTCAAGCAGCCAGCCTAGATGGGAGATATCTGGCTCAAGGCCAGAATCTCTGCTCCCACCTGGTGTCCACAGACATGAACTAGCCTGTCCGGGACAGGCTCCCAAAGGGATGAACAATCATTGCTAAGTTGAATGAATCTACTTAGGTCAAGTGACCAACACAAACAGGCACATTTGGATTTTTAAAAACTGGCAAGATCTTAATCATCCAAAGACATGAGTGCAAAGAGGGTAGAATTTGTAGTCTCCACTATTGGCCAGGAGGAGAGCTATATGGCGATAGACAAGAGGGACTATGGAGGCTGCTTCAATGGAAGAGAGCAGCAGGAGTAAAAGCCCATGGTCTAGCAACATCCTGGGACTTTCAGGAGAATGAGAGGCGGGGAAGAAGAAACCAGAAAGATGGTTTAGAATTCGCTGAGGGAGATGTTGAATCCAGTGAGTGATCAGGAGTCCCAGCTTTACCACTTGGTAGCTGTGTGTTCTTGGGCAAGTCATCTAACCTCTCTTGACCTGAGTTCCTCCAACCTGAAAAATGGGAAAAATCAAAACCTTCTTCACTGAATTATTTCAAGGCTCACTTGGATGGGATTCTGTTATGGTCTGGATGAAAGGTGTCCCCCAAAGCTCCTGTGAGTGCAGGAATATTCAGAAATGAAATGATTAGATGTGAGAGCTGTCACCTAATCAGTCCATTTGAATGTAGTCACTGTAGGCAGGTGGGGCGTGGTTGGAGGAGGTGGGTCCCTGGAGGTATGCCCTAGAAGAATATACCATCCCTGGAGACCTCTTTTCTCTCTTCTTCCTGGTTACCATGTATGGAGCCACACTCCTCCATCATGCCTTTCTGCCTGATGCTTTGCATCATGTTGGGCCCAGGGCAATGGACTCAGCCAACCATGGACTAAACCTCTGGAGCCTTCCCTAAATTGTTCTTGTCAGGTATTTTGGTCACAGCAATAAAAAGCTAACAGAAATCAAGTGGGGCTGAGGATTCCTGGCACTTGTTAACCACAAAACAGCAGAGCCTAGGTATAGTCATTGCTACTACAGTGATGTGTAAGTGCTCAATAAATACGCTGTTCTTTCTCATTGACAATGTTTAGTACCATGTAAGAGAAGAAGAGGAGACTCCACTCCCACAGCTGGAGTGTGTCTTGGGATATGAACAGCAGGCCCCGAGTTGGGTATAGAACATAGGATCCCCTGGCTGAGCATCTGGAAACATCACTGACATATGGTGGTGTCTGTGCATTGTGGCTCCTAAGCCAGACTTCCTGGCTAAGAAGGTCAGTTTATATGAAGATTCTCACACTGGCTCAAAAGGCCCCACCACCAACATAAGCCTTAGGGTGGATCTGCCCTTTTCAGCTAGCTTGAATTTTCTGATAGGTTTAAACAGGCTGAAAGATGGGCCATTTGCAGAGAGTGCAAGGGAGATGCCTGGGCTCCATGAAGGAGTACTGAAAGTATCTCACCTGGCCCTGCAGCTTGCCGGTCCTACATCAGTGGAGAAGTGCTGAGATCGGATTTAACTCCCTGGTTGGCCTGGACATTCCAGCTGAGAGAAGTTGCTATCTTTTTTAAAATATATATATATTTATTTTTTGTAGGTGTACACAATAACTTTTTATTTATTATTTATTAATTTTTATGTGGTGCTGAGGATCAAACCCAGGACCTTTCATGTGCAAGGCGCTGAGCCATAGAAGTTGCTATCTTAATAGTCCTTTTGCTTTCTGCTTACTACATTCCAGCTAGAAGTTCCAGGGCTC